CGTGGGCTGAATGTATGTGTCAAATTGGTAAAAACATTGTTTCTTCAGGCCAGCAGTCTCATGTCAATTAGATCTTTTCCAGAAAAGTTGCTTAATTCAAAATGTTCCAACTACATGCCGTCATAATGAATACACTCTAGGACCCATTAGAGAGATTTCTTAGGACAGCAAGTTCAGCAGCTTGAAACAGTGACTTGTGAAGTTAGACCAGAGGTTCATTACCAAATCAGAGCTGACACATGGCTCAGTGATATAGAGAAGCAGATGCACTGCCAGATTTTTTTTTTTTTTAAAGTTTTTGAAAAGTAGCTGATTAGAGGGATTTTCACAACTGTGCACATTCTGCGGTTAATTAAGTTGTCCCATTGGCGATAAAGAGGTGCTGTACAGCGGATGCTCTATGTGCATGTTCTTTGCTTTTTGCGACCTATTGCTTGCTTCGTGCTTTTTCATTTAAACCTTTTCTTTCAACCCTTGTTTACACCTTTTGTCTAGCTCACTCAGCACAGTTTGCTCAGCTTTTATTTTAAAACTAATATTTCTCAGCCGAGATTTGTGACATCAAGCAAGCTTCCAGCACAGTGCACTTAAACAATGCTCAACACATGATGCTCACCGAGCAATTGGCCAAAGTTATCACTCTGCGTCTTCCTCCAGCAGGGCGCAGAGGGCAGGGATAGCTCAGTAGGTAGAGTGGTTGCCCCATGATCGGAAGGTCGGGGGTTCGATTCGATTCCCCTTAACAGCTACCCTGAGGTACCCCTGAGCAAGGTACCGTCCCTACACACTGCTCCCCGGGCGCCCAATGGCTGCCCACTGCTTCACTGAGTGAATGGGTTAAATGCAGAGAGCAATTTCCCCACGGGGCTCAATAAAGTACAATAATGTACACACTTTCTAATGTACACACTTTCTTTTCCCTCCACATTAGGCCATTAATCACAAGGGTGCATGAAAAATAAAGATTGTGTAGCTGGGGTACAGGCTAGAGTGGGGTGGGGAGGGGGTCAGTCAAGTGGTCTCTTCTGCCCACGAGTCCCTGGTCAGTGCCATTATTCTTCTACTGTTGTGAAGGCAAGAGTTTTGATGCTATTGATTTGGGAGGAGGGCAAAGGAGAGGAGACATCAATATACTTGCTGATGCAGTGGCATCGCAACCTTCACTGCACAGCCTGCTTTTGTCCGTATATTGCAGGTGTCAGTGAAAAACACGCGCGTGTCTTGTTTGGTTCATAAACCACTCATATGTGATACTAAATCACAATACAGTTCTTCTGTAGCGAGAATCTAAAGAATGCTACACATCAGCTTCAAACTTGCACAGATACTTCCTTCACATGCGCACACAGAGCCATGCGCTGGCAAATGGACCCCTCATGTGGACCAAACCTTTGTGCTTTCAGCTGAAGCCTTACATTTGAACCTATGTTCAAAGACAGCCTACCTACTCAGCACACCACGAGCCAGACAAAATCCTGGTGTCTTCCTCTTCCCTCGCTTGCCACTCCAGCTTTCATTTTTTTTCTGTTTGTCCAAGGGTGCTGTTATAGACAGGTGAAAGGGGCACTGGCAGTAGGTGAGCTCTTAAATTACAGCACACTCGAGAGCAGAGGAGGGGAGTTTATTTTGGGTCATGGAGAAATTGAAGTTAGCTATCGCAGCATACTTGAAATAAGAGAATCATAGTGCAGTTATTTTGAGGATTTTTTCTTAAATGTGTTTGATGTTGGGAGAAGGATGTTGGGGTCATGTATGGGACGTACCATAATATCATCAGCTTTGTCATAGATGTAAGAGCCAGGGAATTTATTTTGAAGGTACAAAATTGCAGAGAGATCTCAACCACTGGCCACCAGTCTACAGCTTGTCCTGTGAACAAAAGCCAATTCACTGACAGAAATCCAAAAGAAAAGAACAGAAATGCTTTACTTATTGCATTTGTTGTCTGGTGTGTTGTGGTAGGATTGACAACTTCTTCAGGGTTTCTTACTTTGTTCTGTGTTGTAGTTTGGCAAATATGACTTTGAGTTTATAGGGCACACTTTGACATTATGTCCAAATGTTGTTTACTTGGCAAATGTTTTTTTTTTTTTTTTTGGAATGTCTGAAAGTAAGACCCACACATAATGACATGCTTTAGCTTGTTTTAAGCTCTCTGTGCCTCATTTTCATATAAAATACAAGCCGTGCTACCAGCCTAGCTTCAGGGATAGCAGTGATTTACATCATTTTGATTCTGACACATTTCAACAACCTTTTGTGCAGACATGGACAAGTTGACATTTCTGGCCTTTAGAAATATCCTGACAACGACTGGATGGATTGCTGTAAAGTTTAGTACAACAATTCATGTTCAGCTGAGTATTTAATTGACACATTTGGCATTGTTCAGAAAGGACAATCTGACTTTTGTCTGTTGTTGGCTTTAGCTAGTAATTTGAGCATTAGTTTTATTCGCTTCTTGTTGTGAGTCATAATTTTGAGATATTTTGCATAAGAGGGGCTAATGTCTTGTGTCTTATGTACTGAACTTCCTTGTAACAGTTCATTTCAATCCATAAGCAAAGTGGTTGTAAAATCATAATGTGTTGTCTTCTCATTGCACATTTTCTCTTGCTAATGTGCCCCCTGCTCAAGAAAACAAAGGCATTGGAGGAAGATGGATAGTGAGGCGAATAATCCAGTTAGCTTTTCATGTGTTTGCAGGCAGATATTTTCTCTTTAATGTGTTTATCATGACTTATGAGCTTCTCTATAGCAGTCATTAACATATGATTACCATCACAAGTCTAATGGGTTTGTCTGTTGTTCCCCCTTCTGCTCAACTGCCTCATCCCCTTTCCAAAATGTTTTCTTTCTAAATCTTTTATCTTCCTCTTTTCAACATTTGCTTCCTATCTCTCTGTCATTCTCTATCTCTCACACCTCCTTTCCATGTGTTTCCACTTTCGGCCCCTGCGGCCTCTCAACTTCCCAAGATAGAGGCTCACACACTCCCCATTATTGCTTAATTATCTGTGGCCTGTCATTTGAATAATGTTGTGTCCTTTACTTTCAATCTATTTAAATTTTTTGGTTTCATCTTTCACTTGATCTTTATTCACTTTTTCACTCCTCCTTCACTATATCCCACAATTGGCCCTCCCCCCTACCGTCATCTCTGTAGCGTTCAAGGCATTTCTGTGGCATCGGAATACTTCTGCTTCTCTGTTTTTCAACACCTCCTCAAAGCTCATTGACTCTCCTCTTCTATTGGGTTATACAGAAATAAATCTATGAGAAAGACATAGCTGAGGATCCTAAAAGCCCACATTGGTCTGCTTCACACCAGCAAACCCTTTCTGTAGGATATTACTCTATTCTTTAATCTTTCATTGACTGAAAATTATGACTCCATCCATTAAAAAAAACAAGAAAACTGTACTTGATTGTATTTTGGCCATTATTAACTTCAAGGATGTTTTACTGTACACTTCCGGACCACTGACGTTATTCTTGCTATTTTTAGATTGCTCCCTGGAAGTTCCATTCACACCACTTGCTTTCGTGCAGCTGCAGCAGCAGGTTTAATCTTCTGCTCTGTGTCAAATCAGCAATCCTTTCACTTGAATTTCAGTTTGAAGAAGAAGATGCAGTCACAGAAAGCTGACACTTGCAAGTAGGGCAAGGAATCTGTCACTGTAGAACTCCCATGCTGACTGTGATCCTGGGGAATTAATTTATAGTGCACAATGTTGGGGAAAAAAAGACAAGCATGCTCCTTACTGTGCTTCTCACCTGATGTGATGTGAGCCACATTTGGGCTTCCACCGAACTGCTGTCTTCAGTAATGATCATTAATGTGAATGTTGAGTCAGTTTGACACAGACGTTGATGTTTGCTGTCTGTGCAAATCCGAAGTTCTCTGGTGAAACTGAGTTTTCATCAGGAAGGTATTTCTAGGGAAAATCTAAATGTATGTGGAGGCACCGAAAGAGGTCCTCAAAGTTTAAAGAGGCTAAATTAAATCAGGTTCAATTTTGCTTTTCAGCTGTTAAATTGCTGAAGTCTTTTTTTTTTTTCTAGATATAGTTTCTAGATATAGTTTGCAGTTTATATCTGCCAAATCATGAGAAATTTCCATGAAAGAGAACCAAAATTTGTTTTTTGGGGTGTTTTGTTTTTCTTGTTTTCTTTTCAAACATCTTTCTAATAAAAATGCAGCTCAAATGAAAATGTATTGGTGCTGTTGTCATGGCTTCCCTGTATCAAATGCACTCATCACTTTGTTCCACTGTAACTACACTCATTGTTGTTGTATCCCTGTCGGTTTTCTACACTTAAGTGAGGACACCTGGGGACATTTAGTAAGGCAAAGCAGAAGATGCTTTTTGGGTTGTGAGAAATCACAGGAATTATATGAGTTTTGACAGAGTCTTCGTGTGGGAGTCCCTATACAACTGACTGGCACACTCAGATTTCTACCCATGAATCAGTGTGTTTGTCTTGTGAAGAAAATGGTAATGTTTTCTGCTGTGTTTTTGAAATATGCCACTCTACTTTCAGTTTCTCACTACAGCTCTGTGCAGTTTTTCTTCATTCATGTCATTTTGGATGCTGGTTGATAATTAGTTTTTTATCCTGTAATTCTTTTTTTATAATCCTATTGTTTGTACCATTTTAGATGAATTAACATTACTGCATTACAGTGGTTTAATACATTATCGGAATCAATAGAGCAAATGGCCTGCTCACTTACTGCCTTTATGACTCAAATAAACCCCAGAGGGCAGTTAATTTAAGGCTCTGTGTACACTTCACAAGTCATTACAAGCATTAGCAACATTTGGTCCTTAGCTGCTTTATATTATTCTTGTCAATGCACTTGACAAGAGAATTTTTTTTAAGTGTGTTTTTTAAGAATCACAGCCCATTTTAGGACTTTTCCTAATGTTTTCAGTGGAAATTCATATTCAGCAGAGTGTCTGAACTAATGAAATGTGTATTTCCTTTTTTTCCAGGGTTGGTCAAACTTGGAGTCCACTGTGTAACATGCCAGAAAGTCGCCATTAAGATTGTGAACCGTGAGAAACTCAGCGAGTCAGTACTAATGAAGGTATGTTTGCGGCTCTTAGTCTTCGGACTTTCTGATGAGGATGGTTAGTGCAAATGAAAAAATAATTTTGTTTTCTGTATTGTTTTTGCCTTACTATCTTACCGTAAACTTTATTATTTGTCATGTTCCCACAGTTGATGGATGGATAGTATACTAAGCTAGTGGACTTCCTCAGCAGAACCAAGGTTTCAAAAAAAATCAACAGCTGATCTTGCAAAAATTCTTAAATATTAGCAGTTTATATCACAGAGTGGAATCACATGCTGAGGTAGTGACGCATTTCAGACTCAAAGAGTCAGCTGCTTAGCTCCCCCATCAAGCAAGAGTCAGAGCTTCTAATGCACAACAGCAAAGCGGCTTTCTGTGACTATAATTAGTATGCTTTTACTAGTAAGTCTGCATTGTTTCTTTTTAAGGCATACAGTAGGATAGAATTTTTTTTTCTTTTTTTTGTCATTGCATCATAGGACTCCTGCTGGGAAGTTCCATTCAGTGCAACATTGTCCCTTGTTTTGATGGAATAGTTGTAAAGAAACTAAAGAGAAGAAGAAGAGCGAGGGCAACTCAGAGACACTACAACCTGAAAATGGTAGTTATAGGATACACGCAGAGACAAGTGCTTGCTGTAATTGTTGGCTTATGAGCTGGAAAGCAGGAGGAGAATGGGTCTGCTCACAGTAAAGGTTATCTGAAAATGGAAAATCCCTCAGTTTTGGATCGCTTCACGTGGCATCATTATTCAACTACAGATGAAAAATTCTCTGTCCTTGGATATTGTTATTTGATAAACGGTCTGTATTTATTAGCTTCTTGCTGTGTCAGAGTCTGTTTTGCTCTTTGCTTGCTGCTGATTTGCTCTTGAAGTCTCTCTCTGTTCTGCCTCTTATCCCATTCAACATGCAGTCTTAATGTTCTCATGAAAGACAGGCAGGTCATTTCTGTGAGAGCTTCAGCTCTGACAGACGTATTGTAGCAGAAGTAGAGGAACTATTGTAACACATGTCGGTGAGCTAGGTGACATCTTGCTGTCCTGCAAAGGAAAATGAGGGTAACAGATGCCAAATACTGACAGGTTTCCAACAGGACCGAGTCTTTTGCTGAAGCTGCAATTCAGAGCCAATTACTAACCTCAGCCATTGTCAGTCTTGTCTCAGCAGAGTGTGTGTGTGTGTGTGTGTGTGTGTGTGTGTGTAACAGCAGGTGTAGTGTGTGTGCCAGTGAGAACTGAATTACGTCGGGGAGAATATGTATCTACAAAAATTCAAATTTATCAGCATTATTCTACATGTATAAAAAGAGATTCTAGGTTTTTTCCACTCATGCTGCAAGTCAGTATTTTTGGATCACATGCTAAAATGTCAGTGTGTTTGTGTCTACCTGTGCCTGTTGTTGCTAACCTGTAACACTGTTTACATAGAAATGGTGTGTGAGATTGTGTGCTGTTGCTTTGTCAGAGCCATCCCATATGGAAAAGCAATAGTAAAAACTTATATGATTTACTCATGAAAGTGGCCACTTTCTCATTACTTTCATATATTGTTTTAGTAAGTATCCAAAACATACAAGTTTTATTTATATAATTTTTCAAGGGATCTTATATCAGTTTTCACTCTTATCTGCTTTTCATACAAGTTTCACACAAGACAGATACAAACTTTATAAGATTTATATATATCTTTTCCATATGGGATGTAACTCAAGTACAACTCAGCCGTTCTCACAGTCTGGAAATCTAATGGCATGACTCATTACCAAACTTACATGTTACAAGTTACAAATTTCCTGCTAGTTTTGGAACACATTATGCTTATTTTAATGCTTGAGGAGGTATAGTTGAAGGCAGTCTGGTAGCAGTTATGGACTCCTCGTCGACCTGGAGAGAGTGTTTGTTTGGCAGGAGGTTCAGGCTGCTGAGGTCCCGAACAAATAGACTCAAGGACAGCTTTTACAACAGGGCATTAGCCCTGATCAATGCAAATAGCTGACCTGACTGGCTACCTACCTGGACTTTTTTTGGGGGGGGGTTAACAACAGTAAAAACAGTAATAATAATAGTATTTATATTTATAACAAGGTGCAATAATAATTAATGTGCAATAATAACAGTGTGCAAGACAAATACACTTATTCTTCTTTTTTATTACTAAGTTATTATACTGTGTTGTGTTGTTTGTGTTGCGTTGTGATGTGTCGTGTCGTGTTGTGTTACATGTAGTGCCGACGTAGGACAGTTTTCCAATTTCATTGTACTATTGTACTATGTATGACTGTGCAATGACAATAAAGAGTTATCTTATCTTGTTGTCTGATGGCGGCGGTGTCAAAAAAAACGTGGTACAACCAGTGCGTGAGCTATCATCCAATCAGCATTTGATCAGCACATAAGTAACCCCATAGGTGGGATATTGGGTGACTACACAGCAGCACGCTCGCTGTGGGTGAAAACCTCTCTCTGTTTGCTGTCCAAATAGTAATGAATACACAGATGGACACATTTGCGGGACCACAAATTACACCTAACACTGATCTCACAAATTAGATTACAAATTCATTCTCATGTTTTGGGGCTTCCTACTATGACTGGACAGGTGTTTTCCAGCTCAAATCTAGTCGAGGTTTTCCCATATTCCCATTGTGTCGCAACCCATACTCTCATGTGTCTGCTCTTCGGACTGCATATTTGGCTGTCAGACTGTCAGAATGATCGGGCTGTAGCTTCCTGCATAGCTCAGGCTGTGAAATGTCACCTTTTAATATGCTAATGTCTTGGGTCCCCGTGGTGCCATTAGGGGAGAGTCTGACTCGCCCAGACAGGTGTGTGTTTGTGTGTGCGTCTGTGTGTGTGTGCATATGTATTTGCAACACTCCTGATGACAGATATACTTTGTATGCATGCATACACTCATAGACAAATATAGGCCACACACAAATGTGCAGAGGAATGTGTGCACATGTGCCATAGCAACATCTGCATGTTCTTTAGTATGAGCATGTGCACATCCTCCACGACCTATGTCATCCCTCTCCGTCTGTCCTTCTTATGACTGGCCTTGGGAGTCAGGGGTCTGTGGAGATGAGGAGATGGGTTGAATTAATTGTCTCGGAGTATCTGGCAGAGAGGTCTTTTCTACACTCTGTGTGTTGAACTTTATATAACTAATGCTGAACTCTTTATTCCATAACCCTACAGACTGTGACACTAAGGACCAGAAAGACATTGAATTGTCTTGGTTAATGCATGCGTCTATGAACTTTATGTCAGTTTGTAACCAGGGAATGAGCCTTGACTACTTCAAAGAGCAAGTGCGGCCCAATGTTTTTTCACTTCTAAGCAGAAAAGCTAACAATGGAGTTACTTGAATAATAATAAGAGTCTCCGTCAGCGGGAAGTGGTTGCCTGTCATGTTTGGAATGAGAGAGAAAAAGACAGAGAGAGAATACACAGTACGTGCACATATGACAGTATGTCAGCAGTCTTTCGCACTGAGGCCAAACTGAATGAAGTAAGGCAAACCGATACTAAGAGAGAACCAACATTTTGTGCATGAATCTGAGTGCTTGTGGGTATCTCAAGGGAATAGTTGATGTTTCTGAATCTCAGTCAGTTCTCTCTCTACCTCCCTCTACTTTGGACATGTCTCTATGAGATCAGGCCATGAGGTTGAGAGAAAGCAAAAGGGAACTGTAGTAAGAAGAGAGATGGACATGTTGGGAGAAACCCTGCTGGGAAAATATAACACAGATGTCTTTGTCAGGACACCACATCTCTGTGCATTTCTTGTCAGAAGTTCCTGTTTTCTTCTTGATCTATTAACTGTGACATTCCCACATATGGCATGGCCCTTTGTGTTCACTTCCAGCGTAAGAGTACAAATCCAGCTTCCATTTCAACCATATCCCTACCGCACACACACACACACACCCTGCCTTAATTCTACATGGCATAGATTCAACATGATCCATATTGACATGACGTGTTGGGTGCATATCCATGATGGGAATTACCCCTTCCACCACAAGATGCTGCACTGGTTTGACTGTTGAGGTCATTTCAGAACAGTGAACCTATTGTCATGTTCAAGAAATCATTTTGAGATGAGCTTTGTGACATGGTGGGTAATCCTTCTGGAAGTAAATAGGTGCACTGTTGTCATGAAGGGATTGACATGGTCAGTAACAATACTGAGATAAGCTGTGGTGTTCAAATTGGTTCAAATTGGCCTAAATGTGGTAAGAATTACAGCATTATACCTCCAGCAGCATCCTGAGCTGTTGATACAAGGAAAGTTGGATCTTTCCTTGTATCATGGTGTTTTTATGCTGTTGGGTGGTTGGGTTGAAATTTGTTGTAAACAGCACGAAATCATAGATCTAAGTCTTGCAGCAGATTCATCAGTGCAGACAGTGTTTTTCCAGACAAATGGAGGACAGAAGTGTCAGGCATAAAAAAAAGAGCCAGAAAAAAACTGTCTAGGCAACAAAGAAGTGGTTAAAGAAGAAGCACATTAAGGTCATTGAATGGCCTAGCTAGTCTCCAGACCTCAACTCTACAGGAAATCTGTGCAGGGAGCTGAAGCTTCAAGTTGCCAAGGGGCCGCCAAGAAACCTAAAGTATTTAGAGAGTTTCTGTAAAGAGGAGTGGGCCAACATCCTTCCTGAGATGTGTGAAAATCTGGTGACCAATTAGTCTTGGTTGTGTTTTGCTTGGGGATCAAATACTGTATTTCAATGACACGTAAATTAATTTATAGCTTTTGCATAAAGTGTCTTTTTTCTGGATTTTAGTTGATATTCTGTCTCTCTAGATTAAAATGAAACTACCATAACATTAGAGACATTATGTGATTTCATGTAATCACATAATGATTTTGAAGTTTTCCCTGAAAAAAAGAGGATTCGCTGTAACATATTTCTACCATACTGCCTGTCATTATACTGTATATGAAAAAAAGCAACTCCGATAAATCTGCAGTTCAGTCTTAGGGTGAGTATTATTGTTA